TTCCTATATTTTCCAAGTTTTCCCAGCCAGCTTTGTTGATTTTATGACAATTTTCTCTAAATCTGCCACCCTCTCCAATAGGACATTCTGATTACGCAAAGATTCCTCTTGAAATCTTAAAGATTCCTCCCGAAATCCTACAAAACAAATCACTTTATCTAACAATGGAACCTTTTTTCAAGCTACACCGGGATCGATTAGCGAGTTATGTCAAAAAATCAAGCTAAAAATTAGGAGTTACATGACGCTTATCTTTCCGTTGAATGGCCCTTTTGAAGAAAAATATTAGAGGTCAAAGTTCACACGAGCGCCTTGGTTTTTGCCCCGTGGAGGAAAAAGCAAGAGAAAATTTGCTCAAAAATCGAACTTAACCGCCAATATTTTTCTTCTAAGGGGCCATTCAACGGAAAGAGAAGTGTCACGTGACTTCTGATTTTTAGTTTGATTTTTTGGCATAACTCGCTACTCGATCCCGGTATAGCTTGAAAAGAGGTTCCATTGTAAGTTTGCTTATAAAAAATAGAATAATAATTTTTCCCTTACTTCTGAATTCTGTCAATAGAGATTCAATCTTCGGGTCCGGTTCTAATTGAAGGAGTTGAACTTGTGGGGACTTGCTAATGTCTTCCACCGTTGATGCGCAGGCTCCGAGGAAGACCTCGTTTGCTATTTTTATAAAAATTTTAATTGTTGAATTATGATTGTCAACTATACTCTGCAATTTCGTTTCTGGTTACGATTTTATATCTTAGTTTGGGTAATTAATGCCGTAATTATTATTATTTTACTTACTTTCACAATGCAAGGAATTAACAGGTGCCTCAAGAATATTAATTCCCACAGGTTCTGAAACCGTATCTTGCTCGGGTACTTTGCGCCGCCGCCGGGGTTGATCGTTCTCACTTGAGTCAATTGGTTTATTTGTGATATATTTTTTCAACTTCCTTATCGCCTTCTCGTACGAATCTACAGTTTAAACGACACATTTGCGCATAAGAATTCGATCATGACCGTCAGGGAAAGTATGTAATAGCAAATACTTCCCGTAAGTTCCGACATATAATATGTCGTAATTAGTCCAGCCTTTATCTGGGAGAGTACACGGGTCGCTTTGAATACTGGAAAATCCCTTTGGAATTGGATTTGGGAATTTGCACTTAGCTCGATCCGTGGAAATCCATGTGGATGGCACTACCCCCTTATCAACTTCAAACTCGAACAACACAAACTTTTTTTAAATTTTGCGACATAAGATTTTATTTGTTTGACTAACTTTAGTTTTAAATAATTAAAATGATGAGGAAGTAACGGCGTGGCTAACAGAACAACTGAATGGTAGAAAACTTTACTGCCACAACTGACTCCTAGAGGGCATTAAATCGAGAATAGATAAATAATACAAATTTTGTAATAAAGTGCTGCAAAAATATCGGTACAACTTTTGTGTGGAAATAGTAGCACCTCTTTTCTGCATTTGGGTTTGTACAATTTCCCGGGTACGAATTGTGTAAGAATTTAGTGCCAGAAATCTTATGAGAATGTTGTGCCAAGAAATACGCAATGAATTTTCACCAATTTCATTGCAATTATTTCGTGCCAAATCTTTTGTGATAATTTAGTGGATTTCGAGTACAAGTTTATTAACAGCAAATATATTGATGTCAGTTTTACATGAATATTGTACAAAATAATAATTACATTTTTTTATGCACAGAAATTGCATTGATTTGCATTGGGATTTGCAGTAAATACGCATTGAGGCTCGTTGGGCTAAGATCTGTTTTCATAAATAGGAGGTTACGCAAGTATTTATAAGTACAAATGTTCAGCTACATGTGCTCTTAATGATAATTAAATTCCACACAGGTGTTTCATACACTACTAAAAATCTGCTAGAGTAACTTATCTACATATATATTCCGTACTGGTAATTGTGTACATATTAGGTAACCATTTCTTACCGGATTGAGATAAGTTACTTCTTACTGAGTGGTAAATATTTGCTTAATTGTTATCACATTATTAAAAGTAGCTGAATCCCCTTTTTACCCTTCCGGTAGCGTCATTTACGTATACACATACTTGTGAATGAGCTCCTACTTCTCTTAGAGTGCACGCCAACAAATAAATCTAGATAAAAAGGTTAATTCTGCTTCATAATTCGTCCATCGAGCTATAAAAATAAAACCACATGTACATACCTCCGCTGAGTTACGAAGTTGGGTAACCAAACATATTTATATACAGGGTGGTTGAAATGTCAGGTTACAATTCTTCAATGGGAAAAATTCGTAAATTTCCATTAGTCACGGATTTGGGATTGAGCTTTTTATTAATTTTTATCAAAACTTATGGATCACTGATGACAAAATTTCGGTAACTAATGGAAATCTACGAATGTTTCCCATCGAAAAATTTTCCATTGTAGCCTGACATTTTAACCACCCTGTACATATATTCTCCATTTAGTTACTAACATTTCCACACGTATTTAGACCCGTCAAGATGTCAACTCAAAAAATACACTCCCCCTTCTTCCTCCTCATCATCCTTCTTACAATTGATATCCATCCATCCGTTTCTCAAATGTATCCTGCAATACCTTACCCCCCAGAGCTGTACACGTTTCACCCTTTCGGATCAGAGGACACGTGCATCGGCCGCGGCCCGGAACCCGGCACTCTCTCCGTGCACCTCTGCCGTCCCGACATATCGCTCCTGTTTGCACAGGATATATACTGGATCAAAACCAATGGCACTACTGGCTCCTGGCTTTGTTTGGAAGAGGGCAAATATTTCTCCGTTTTTCTGGCGACTTGTGACTTCGAGAAGAAAACAGAGATGGGCGTTTGATTGCATCGGCCTCTTCACGTTCTGCATGGTGAGAGCCAAGGAGTCGAGCAACTGTTTAAGGCTGGGTGTTACCAAGGTTACCTCGGGCTTTTGCTCGGGCCTTGATTACTGGTGGATTCACGATGTGGATGCGAGTTTTCCAAATAATAGAATAGTTTTCCCATAACAAAATACCAAAGAAAGACTCGTATTTTGAGAAATTTGAATTTAAAAAAAAATATTTATTTGATCCTGAAGGAACAGTGGTACGTGATATGACGAATTTGATCTTAAAGAGGTTAATTTGTGACGGGGATCAGTAGTGTATTAAACCTTGATTGTGTAATTTGAATTTATCATGGAATAAAAATTTGTATTATTTTCGCACGTGATTCATTGTCAAAGTCAGCACATATTTATCATTTCAATTGTAAATGTGTATTTGATAGCAAAAAATGGTCAAAGGTCAACGCCAATGTGGTCGACGAGAGCGGCGCTAATTACAATTTATCCTTGGAGGCAGCCCATTTACTGAGGGTTAGGCAAGATTATAGAACGTATCGAAAATTATTAATTTTTGGGCGAAATATTCGTTCTTGGATATTTTGAATGATTTCGTCGTATTCCTCATCCTTTTCTCATGAGGAATAAAGTTATCATTTCCGCTTTTAAAGCCGGCAGCAGATTTTCTTTGAACCACTGTTCATCCAAAAGTTTGCAAAATGCATAAAAAAAATTGTATGTCAATTTGAAAAAAGTGTCGATCTGAAGTTTCAAATCAGAATTAAAGCACTGAATGCACATAACCGGACGTAACTAGTTTATCTCTATGCAAAATAATTTAAATTCCGAATATTAAAAATAGAATGGCTGCGAACTGGGTGGTAATCCGAGCGTTATCAGAGAAAAAGTTTCGCGTCGACCTCATATCTTCTGATCCTCGCTGAAGTTGTGAATATCTTGGTGAATAATTCAGTTCAGTGTACGCCCAGGGACCTGACACTTCATTGCTAGTTGATTTTGAATTGAGAAAAAAATTATTGCCTTGTCCACATAAATTTTTCTTACGAGCGTCGGATTTCTTACAGTTCGGGGGCCATGCGTTGGACGAGTGTGGCACCATCAAATTTCTTGCCTGGTTCATTTTTTCAACTGAATCCTTTATTTTAGACATTGGGCCATTAGAAATGACAATTTTTTCATTCTGGAGTTGGTTTAGTATTGTTTTGTACGTCATTATTGGTTGGCAAACTATTTTAACGGCATGGGGTCAATTTTTGGACCCATCTTTAAAATTTCACAATTGAGCTTTTTGGTCACGGTGCAGCTTGAACCGAGCTTCCAGAAAAGTTTCGAATATTTGGAATTGGCGCCATTGTTTAACATATACGGGAAAATTGCTACACGTTCTATAATCTAGACTAACCCTCAGTACTTCTTGAGCTTTTAAAGATTACCGGATTAAGCTTATATTCACACATTATGTATTTATTAAGTTTGAAACTTCGTATTTCTATGTAGACGGGGCAAATTCTGAATGAAGAAGTTTGGGAGAATGTGATAACTACAACAATATTAATTGTATATGAATAGTATTTTTTAGGCATGTATTTACTACCGATTTATTTTGAAAGCATGATTACAACAAATAAATTGCCTGAAACTACAGTTTCGTTATTTCTTGTGATATTTTATTATTCTGCATTCGCACTTTGTAATAAAACTTTGTTATTTTATTTAAAATTGTATACAACTATTAAACCGGTGTAATCAGAATATCAAATTCCCTGAAAGAATTGCATTTCATTCTGCACCCAAAATCACCCACCCACCTTTTTGATGACTTATCTAATACACGGATGTTCTCTTATGATAATTTTATACGGTAGTTAACGGGAGACGACGTAATGAGGTAGATTTCTCAGAAATCCTAACTTTTTGGTACATATGTATCTGTCATTTGTATCGATTTGTTATTATATTGTAATCCGTAGATATTTACGTAATTATGGATGACAACCTAGGACAATAGAGCACAATTTCTCAGTATTCATCCGAGGTTACACAAGAAGATGTGTATGTTTTTATGCTAATTTTGTCCCACACAGGTGTTTAATACACTGCTAAAAATGTGATAGACTAAAACAAAACATCTACTCTAGCTATTGATTTGATACTAATTTTATTTCATAAGTCTTCCAACCTCTGCGTAGCTGCAAGCTCCGAAATTATATCAGGTACCAATCATAAATTCAACATGTGTATATTTATGCATTTATTTTGGAAATTTGATCTAAATTGAAATTACACAAAATAATCTTAATCACCAATATAATTTACATTTCATATATGTAGAATGTTCAGGGTGGTTTAAACGTCATGCCACAATGGAAATCTTTTCAATGTGAAAAATTCGTATATTTCCATCAGTTACCGGAACTTTGGCTCTGAAATTTGATATTTTAGATATATTGTCCCCCAGTGGTCCATCAGAAATTAATAAAAATCTCAATCCAAAATCTTGTAATTAACGAAGATTTAGGGGCTTTTTCCCTTGAAAAATTTTTCCAATATCACGAAACATTTAAACCAGTGTGTGCAAAAAGGCAGCCATTTTGCCTTTTTCAATACCCTTTTGCCTTCTTCGATGCCTTTTGGTTCGATTTTTGATGATTGAACCGGATTTCTTGTTGTTTATTTATATCGTATTAAAGAAATTTCAAAATATATTAATGTTTTTAAAATTGTATTAGAGGGTTCTGGCTTTCATCGATACTTCGAATTAGTTGAATTCCTTTCCCTCGATATTTTCGGGGTTGTTTCTATATCGTCATCTGCTTAATTAGTCAAATTTTGGGGTAACGATGATACTTAGGGAAAGAATAAAAAATGCAATGAATAACCTACACTTTAATTTTATCCCAGGGTTTTCGTCTCATCTTGCCCCAAATAACCAAAGGGCAAAAACGCAAAAAGGCACTCATTTTTTTGGGGCAAAAAGGCACTCCCTGCCTTTTTGCTCTGCACACACTGATTTAAACCACCACGTATTTACATCGATAGTAATGAATGTTTTACATTTTTTTCTCGAAATTTCAGCTAATTAACTACGCCAAGAAAGATGTCAATTTATACCACATTCATCATCCTCTTCCTTACAATTTATACTCATCAATCCCTCTCTTTTACCAATGAATCTGAATCTGACCCGTACGTGGCCCTATTTACATTACACCCCATTTGGGCGCGGGACACGTGCATAGGGCGCGACCCCGAAACGGGCAGCCTCGCCGTGCTCCCCTGCGATCCCGACAAGTTGCTCAAGTTCAAGGTCACATTTGAACACACCCGCGCCAAGGCCATCCAAACCAATGGCACGACTGGATCCTGGCTTTGTTTGGAAGAGGTAGAAAATTCAAACTTGGTCGCATTGGGGGAATGTGAGACGGAAAAGAAGGAGCAGGACTGGACTTTTGAGTTCATCCTCAACACCCATTTCTGCCGCGTGAGGGCCAAATCGACCAACTGTTTGAGGCGGGACGACAAGAATGCTACAAAGCTTACGTCGGGGGAGTGTTCGAGAAAGGATTACTGGTGGATTAAGTGGGTGGATTAGCTCCGGAATCAGGATCGTATTCACCTACTTGAAAGTCCTGATTTTTAAATGAAATTTCCCTTCGGTACGATGTTAATTTCATAATTGCACTTGATAGCAACCAATCAAAATTTTCAGCCAGTTTCTATTTTTCGAAATTTTTGAGAAATTTTGTGTCAAGGTAATTTATGCAGTAATTCCAAAATGAAAATGATGAATTTAAAAATATTTATTGCTGAAATATTTACAATCTTAACGATAATGTTATATACCTACCCTTTTGAGAAGTAAGTTTCAAATGTTATAATACATGCAAACGACTATTCTCCTAATTCGAAATTAAGTAAACTATTCTAAATCCATAATGAAGTTTTCCTCTTTATTAAGTCAACACTACTCTGGATTTAGTATGCCTTACTGAATTTAGAATTTATGTTAAGTGAACTTACACTACAAAAATGTAACAATATTTTTCAGAGTTTACATTATACACTTGGACACGCAAAAATTTATTAAATACAAAATGATTTTTTAGGCTTCATTATATTCATATTCAAATAATTTTCAATTAATTAAAATAGATCGCTTTAATAAAAAAATAATTATGTGATGCAACCGTTATCAAAGAAAGATCTGTAAAAATGATGTAAACCTAGCGCACTCTGAAAGAACTAAATATGTATGCGTTGCCATAGTGACCATCAGAACAAAAAATAGCACACTTTTGATTTAACACTATCACATCTTCGCACAAATGATTTCTGATATTGGAGAACCTACGTAAATAGCTCACTCTTTAAGCACGACATGTTACCATGGCGACGACCATCACGACAAAAAATAGTACACCTTTGTTTGATATTAACGCATCTTCACTCACCCTACCTACCTACCTACGTGCATAAAATTCCTTGTAGCTGGTTTTCTTTTACGCATTATTTCATATCATGCTACGCATTCGTCTTTTTTTATCAGTGTAGGGGTCCCAGCATGATGGATGTGTAGTCCAAGTCACCTTCGGACATGGTGGTCTTGTCACCTCGAGACCAATGTACTCTCCATTCGCACACGTTAGAACTTTTACAGAAATTGAGATTTCTGAGAAACTACGGCACTGTTAGTCTCTAATTCTCTCAAAGTATGCTAACGGGGTACTTTGAGACTGGCAGTGCCGTAGTTTCTCAGAAATTTCAGTTTCTCTAAAAATTCTAGCGTGTGCGAATGGAGAGTACGTCGAAACGAGACGTAAGCTTGTGAATGTTGTATATAGATTCATGACATTCTTTATTCATTCTTAAACATTCTTATGACATTCTTTATGCACAACGCTTTACTTTTTTTATTGATTCTCGCCAGATTCTTTGGCCACAGCGTGTCTTATGTGGTGAGGGGCCGTGCATAGAACAGGTTACTTACATATTTATGTATGTACACATTTACAAGCTACATTTACATTTACATTTATACCAAAATTTATTTGTACTTAATACACAATTGGGTGACTCTTACCCTTACAGGTATATAATCACAAACTGCCCGCACAGTCCCAAAACCTGCTTGTTTCTCAAACCTGTTGAATGCAAGAGATGCAAGAATTCGTATTTAGAAGACGGTAACCCCTTTCTGGGTGCAGTTTTATTACAATACGGTGAATGAAGCTTGATAAATAACTAAATTCTCTAAAAACTTTCTATTTATTTATTTATTTACGGACACACTTATTTGTATTTTTATATATATTTATGTAGCTCATATTTGTGCATAAAATATGATCTGGGCAAAATTAGGTTCGATTTGAACTGACTTCTTAAACCGTAGATTACTCGTATCATCATCAAAGTGTAAATAATTAAAGTGTGCAATAATTAACTAAAAATTATCCTCGTTTCAACCCCTCTATTTAGAACGTCACCAACTTTGGCCCAGTTTAAACCGCTCTTTATACCCGAACTATGGAATTATGTGCATCTATCAGGATAAAATTCGACTTGTTAAAGGTGCGTGCAACTTTTTGGAGTACAAATAAATTTATATTTTTATGGATATAATTTGATTTATAGATCGAAACCGCATCTAAATTTATACCGGGATAAGCAAATCCTATATTTGTTGTAGGAGTGAACGATTGCAAAACACGTTCGGAACATCATGATCAAGGTAAAAACATACATATAACTAATGCAAAAATGTGTTTTACACTGTTTAAAATCTGTACACACCCCGTACTGGTATTGATTGGGTAATAATTTCCTATCAGATTGGTAGTAGTTCGTTTATTAGTGGTAAATTTTTCCCTACCACAACATTACTGTGACACCAGGAATTACCAATGCCATACACACATGCACTCCAGCCAGTACTGATTTAATACCAGGTTTCTAAGCGTGCATGTCCTAATTACACTCTTAGAAATGGGGTTACTAGTGTAACCAAAAAGTAAACGTATGTATTTGACTCTATCACCGTGGTCATAAATTTGTCATCGAGCTATTGAATTCCTTTTGTCCGTCCGTCTGTCTGTTAACGAGTTTTTTGCGTGAATTGATGCTAATTAAAAATCCCCTTGACAATTATTGAATATTTTAGGCGCACCATTGGTATTGAACAAACCGAATCTAATTTTTTAATAAATTAATAATTAGTAGCACCGTTGATATCTAACAATCGGTGACACAAAATGATGCGAAATAATTGGGGGACCGGATGCAAAACGCACCAATACTGCAGAATATCCGGGAGAAATGATCATGCAATTTTGACAAAGTTTTCAAAATTATGTATGTATCTCGGATGGTCGCTAATGCTGCACTAATGGTGCAAAGGCCTGCCGATCATGTTGCACCATGGGTGCAAGAATATATGAGTTCCGATATATTTTGTCGGCTTATTCCGCACCTTCGGTGCAAACTTCTGTCTAAATCATTATGACAGGGTGAGCTACTTCTAGCGTTACTACAGTTTATTAAGTTTCACCGACTTGGTATTAAATTGTCACCAGAGCGAATAAATTTGTAACCAGTTGGTGACAAATTTATAACCAAGGTGGTAGAGTCATACACGTCTACTAAATATTTGGTTATAATCGTAACACCATTTCTAAGAGTGTAATTAGGACATACGTATGCACATCTTACAAATTGATCATAATTGGCGTACTTTTGCGAAATACACAAAAATGCTGCAAAGCCATGCGCTTTTTCGCAAAATTATTCACCAACAATTTCATGTGCACATTTGTGAAATTTGGGATTTTTGTATTTTGCAAAATTATGCATTTCGAAAACTCCGTGTCACCATCGCTAGGGAGCGAAATTGCAGAAATGCATGGGAACAGTAGCAAAATATTATAAGAAAGTTATTATTATAAGAAAGAAAGTAAATCATATTTTTTTCGTAGTAGATATGTATTGGAAAATTTCAGAAATCATATTTTCAAAGCACCACACGCATACTTTTTACAACATTGTAAATTTGCTAATTTTGCGAAATTTTATACGCTGGCATTTGAACACGCCGATAAAAGACTTTTATTTTTTCTTGTTTAGCTTTCAAGAATAGGCGATCCAGCATTTTTCAGAGGAACCTAACCATCGACAAAGAATACCGCATGCCGTGCTAAGACAATCCAAGGGAAAATAGAGGAACGCTCCTGCAGTAGCTAAGATAACTTCCAAATTGTTACAATGTAATGATGTGAAGTGTAACCCTCGGATTTGGTTAAAATTTCGAAATTATATGTTCCATGTCAATACAAGCAACGTCAACTTTGTCTTCAAATATTTTGCCAAATTCTGACCATCGCACAATCTGCCTGAAGAAGCGTTGCTTGTATTGACATGGAACATATAATTTCGAAATTTTAACCAAATCGGAGGGTTACACTTCACACCACCGCATTGTTCTTTGTAGCTTAATTTAAATTTATCGAGTATTTTTAGCGACTCGTACGTTTTCATATTAGAAATTATAATTTCGGTTTATTAGGTATTTATTCTTTTGGTATGATATATTGATTGAGTTAGAGAATAAGTTACCAATTGTTTGACCCGTTTCAAAATTAATGGATCATTTGTACGTAGAGTTTGTTGATGCAGATTTTCAATTTTTCCTTGTTCTTATTTATTTTGTTTAGGAATGGCCCTTACTCTTAAATAAGGTACGGTCCAAACATTGCATCCATAATTTCGTGTCCATGTGATAAATGTTAAAGGGGGGGGGGGGGGTTAGAAAATCGCGATTTTTGCTTCGCGAAATTTATGGATCTACCCTAACTACATATGTGCAACTGTAGGGCTGCCAAGGTATGAGGTATAAATACTGCATGATCACCAGGGAAGTGTCAAGTTTTGCTTGATTGATCAGTAGATTCCGAACCCTGGCAGATTGATTGATTGATTTGATCAACATTTTCGGGCAAAATTGCTAACTGCGGGCATACATCACTGCAGGAAATTTAAAATTTAAGAAACATTTATTATTATACACAATATCTGTGAAGTTCCGTTTATGTGGGGGGGGTTCACTGCATTGATGGTGGTGGTGAGGCAGATGAGACGATCGTCGTCGTTGTTGTACATGGAAATAAATTGCGTCTTGGAGGCAAGGTGAGATTTGGTGAGACAAAGTCAGGAGAGGTTTTATTGCACGTATCAAGATACAGGCAGTCGACTCGCTGTCGATGGTCACTCTTGTTCTTACTTATATACCATACGTATACCTATTTAGTCTACTTATATGTCTAACCGGTTATTGGGTGGTAAGAGGTGTAAGAATTATAAGAGTTGCCTTTTTGACATAGTGATCATTGATCACTAACACAACTACGAAAAGGAGATAGTGAGAGTTGCAGATCTAAAGAACCAGTTTTTCAATAAGGATTTGGCAAAGATCACCTCTTCACACAATATATTTAATAAGCTCTATAAAGATTACAAACAGTTAGCGTCATAGACATTTGGCCGTTCTCCCGCTCTTTGGTATTTTCGTCTTTATTTAATTAACGGAATATTAAGGTTATTTTCGGATTGGGCTTCCAAAGTCCTAGAGACACATTTTCGGTAAAACCAAAAATGATGGACAATTACTTTCTACTCAAATGTATCACCAGTTTGCTAAGAGGCGCAAAGTGGACTATTTTTCTTTATCAATGGCACCGTAGTAAACCAAGCTTCGCGGTCAGATGGTTGGCAATTTGAAGCATTCGCATTTGTAATTGTTGTAAAAGTTGCCCATAGCATATGAACAACATTTAAGTGAAAAATATTAATATTATCGTTTCATATTCTTCAACTTTTTAATAAACCTATTAGCGATATATAGAACTATAAAGTTGTAGTTTATGGTTTTTAACAAATGAAAAACAAAGAGGACAAAGAAACTACGACGATGATGACTACGCAGAAAATAAATCCTCGTTTGGATACCTCCTACAGCGTATCAAAGCATTGAAATGAGCTAATAAATTTACTCCTTCAATGACCCCACAATGGCCAGGAAGTTGGGTCACTTGGAGGGGATGAAGAGATGAAGGGATGAGGAAATGAATGTTCACGACTTGAGAGGGAGGTTGAGATTTGGCAGATCGACTTTTATTCTCTTGTTACACACAATTATAAAGATGTTGGGACAGGCCAGCAGCAACGGAAAGGAGAACTCGTTCTACAAATGACGACCCCAGTACTGCGGCTGCTGTCCGTTTATATAGTAAACTGGTACCTAATAAGTATACGTACATGCTATATCGTTATTGGCCCGTCGGTCAGATAGACAGGAATGGAAAGTGGGTTTCCATTCCTGTGTCTAAGAACTTGTATCTTGCGAGAGATGATTCGCGATGATGATCGCGACATTAATCCATCAATGCCCTGAGGCAATCATGATTAATGAGAGGAAGGAGGGATGGGTTGCATGCTAAATGAGGCTGATCTATTATGCCGAAAGCTGCGCTTTTCAGCATACGCTCCCCAAAGACTCCCTGGCAATGTCGGCTATGCTCCCATCTTTCTTATTGAGTTACTGAAGACGATCACTGCCCGTGTATCAAGAATGTGAACAAAATTAATTAAAGCACTGTGGAATCGTGGAGGCTACTGCAGTCGAATTATAGGGTTGGCCTAGACTTCATAGCGCCGTTCACCTAACATAACAAACAACGATAACCCCCAGCAGAGTTAACGACACATGTCTTTCATCTGAACACACCCGTTTCCCACCATATCATATTTTGCTTCATAATATTTTCGTAGTATGCATATGATCCATTATTAGTAGGTTCTTCTTGTAAACATTTTTTATTTATTTACGCTGCAGTTAGGTTTAAAGGTGCATATTTTCAGCTTATTGTTAGGGTGTAGTGGAAATTCCTGCATTTGGCAATGTTTACGTCTCATTACATTCACGTTAAAGATCTTATAATGTTGGTTATGTATGTATAGCAGCGACCTTTAGCTTTTGACACAATTTTTGAAAACGATAAGTATCATGTGTCCCAGAGTAAGTTGGAAGGAGCGACTTAAAGTATACTGCGCAATTCTTGGAGATTGTTGTCCAGCTATTTGATGTTTTCGAGACGCAATTTCAAGGGCAACCAGTGGGTATAAAGCATCTTTTGTTAAAATGACAAAATTCAATAGAAATCAGGGTCAAAATGAATGCCTCGAAAATCGAGTTTTTCACAACTACAAAATGGTCACTTGACGTGACCAGAAAAAGGCATCGCAGTATTTCAAAACCGAAAGGTGTCCCAAAATGACAATCAACCTTTATATTTCGAAGTATTACGATGACAAAAGGTGAATTTCGAAAAACATTCTAGGCCACCTCTTGCCACAGGCACTCACCAAAATATGAAAGTCATCAAACTATTCATCACCAACAACTCCTTCCTTTAAATTTGTGCCACCGTACGGAAGCTGAAAATTTTAAAAAGTTTGTTACCTGAAACCTGAAACCTGAAAGTTCATAAATCGGGGATTATAGAAAAGAATAAACAAAGTTGGCCAAAGTACGTTAAAGACCAAAAAATCACCGTCCAAAAATTTTGCAAAAAAATGTGTTGATAAATGTCATTGAAAATTATCATCAATAAACACGAGACCCACGTCGACCCCAATCTATGAAAGACTTCGGGAACCGCATTTTTTCACGCAGGCAGCCTTGCCAATATAGGTTATCAACGGAAGTTGTTCATGAAAACTAAATTCTTGTAAAATTCCTGGTTAGCCATCCCACGGTTAACATTGGGAAAGATACCCTTAAAACCGATAACCCTCCAAATGCCCCTATATGCGAGAAATCGAAAAGTTTTCGGCCTTGCTCATAAAAAGGTACTCTAACCTTCACTCTAAGGCGAATAGGTAGGAAGAATTCGAACGATAATGGCGAAAAATCAGAAAGTACATTTCGAAAACGAGTGAAAATCACTAATTCGAGGGTTGTTGCAGAAATTAGGATTGGAGGCGAATGGAGTAATAAAAATCCTCCGGGTCAAAAACTGGTTGGTACGATTCCCACCTACACCACCCAAAAGGTTTTACAAAAATCGTTTAACCAGGTCGAATTCTACAGGTCATAGGGCATCTTCCAACTTAATATGGGACACACCATATTTATGTACATGTGATAAGGTGGAGCATAGGGTGCTTGGTTTTCTTTTTCACTGGGGTTCGGACTATGGGGGTCCACTTATATGTGTGGATTCTTGTGCATGCAGTACAATTTTTTGAATATTTGCACATAAACGTAGGTTGGACCCCGGTACTATCTTGCTAACGTTCCTCAAGGCACATGAACCCATACGTGCAAAATATTGATATTACTATTAACTATTAATTTAACCATTACTTATTAATGTAATCCATTAACAGCATTTAAAGCTATAAATTTGTATTTTATGGGTTTGAACTATTGCCAACCAATCGATATTGAAATACAGTTCGTGCATCTAAGCCTTCACTGGGATAAAACTACCTCACAACATATGAAATCACAACTTACCCGACAAAGTCAAGTCAATGACCTCGATTTCTAACGCAAAGCCACCCCATGTTACTACCTTGGAGCAAGTAAGGCGAGCTAGAACAATCCGACACTCCGGTGGGTTGAACCCAAACATACGTCGTGAAATGAGCTATTTTATAAGTCTCAATTTAATAACCCAACCCTTGCGGCTTACACTGAAATGAGCTGTTTTTAATAGCTTCTTTCTATGACCCCACAAAATGGCTCACTCACAAATGCACTGTGTGAAATCGTGATAAAACAAAGGACGACTATTTGGAGGCGAGTTGTGAAGTTAAGAAGGACAGATCTTTATTCGCAACTTTCTTCAGATTTGGGCGGGCCAGCAGCAGCAGCAAAACAGGAATTATGTCCTATAATGACAACCCCCGTACTGCGGCTGCTTTCTCCTTATATACTACAACATGTACCTAATACACGTATATAATAGTAATAGAAAGGGGGATGACTTGAAGAAAACTTGCAACTTGAGAGAAATGATCCGCAATGATGATCGCATCATTAATCACTCAATACCCTGAGGCAATCACGATTAATAAGGAGAATGGATTAAATACCTAATGAGGCTGGCCTATTATGGCAAAGCTGCGCCATTCAGTTCACAAGCTGCTTTCTACGATGAGGTAATGGTCGAAGACTCCTACGCGATTCGTCGGAGGACACCTCCATTGCGGAAGCAGGAGACTGGTAGTCTGTCACCCTCGACCTCCGATGAGGTTCTCAGAACCCCTTCCTACGCTAAATCTTCCGTGAGCGCGTCCCTACGTTCTCGGGCACGATCCTAGCAGTCACGCTATTTAGGAGGTCCGTAATGTAGGGTACTTCACACATCCAAGGATTGATACCCGACTACCAACACCCGCAACCAACCATATCAAGCCACCTCTCCTTCCTGTGTTCACTATGTATGTAATGTATAGATATTACAAAAATGTCCATCCTTTTTCAAGACTTTAAAATTCTCAAATCTGGAGAGAAAATGTTTTAAGTTTCCTGCGTGTGACTTGACTGACCCTAGTAGTGCAGAACATAATGAGGATCACTTACGGGTTTTTGTAGTTCCGTTTTTAAGTACAACGTTAGTGCTGTTAGTGGTCTGAGCGCTAACTCTAGCAACTCAGCCATTGAAGTAGGTTTAGCACCATCAATTATAATGGACGCGATGTCACACACATCAATGTACATTTGTTTGCACAGTTGTATCCATTTTGACGTTTCCAAACTAACAAAGGACACTCACGACCTGTCGTTTGAGTCCAGGGTACCCACTATGTTTTTCAGAATCTACTAGGACCCCAGATGAAGGATCCATTCATATTTCCGTGTAAAACTCATATTTGGCGCCATGGCGTGGCGCCAAACTTAAAAATTTGCATTTTCGACCAATTTCAAACCACCATAACTTTTGCAGTTTATGTCGGATTTTTAAAATTTTATGCTTAAAATGATCAGAAAAGTCGAAATTTTAGAGAAAAAAATAAAAATAAAAAAATTTTAATTTTTGAGATATTTTTAGCATTTTTTCGACGAACCCGAAATTTCGAAATTTTGCGAAAAGTTAAAAGCGATAATTTTGGAAAAAATTTCATAGAATACGAAAGTTGAACTCCTTGTCATGATTTTTGCCAAAAATTTTGAAAATCCGTCCAGGATTTCAAAAGTTACGGCGGTTTTAAAATGAAAAACCATCAAATTTGGCGAATTTGGCGCCACGCCATGGCGCCAAATATGAGTTTTACACGGAAATATGAATGAATCCTTCATCTGGGGTCCTAGTAGATTCTAAAAAACATAGTGGGTACCCTGGACTCAAACGACAGGTCGTGAGTGTCCCTTGTAAGTATAACCCAGCCACCCGTGTTTGTGTTCCTTATTTACTGACTTGGTTTTACTCATGATAGGAAGGTTGGCATCTTTTGATAATATGCAAATTGATGCAATAAAATGCACCGGGACTATAAAACACAATGGAAATAATTAGTGAGAAGATGCAGATGTTCCAAGTACGAATTTGTAAAGGGAAAAAAATGTATTACAATCTCGAACGCTCCCATCTCGCAGAACGGTTGTCACGAGTTCAGTATCAATGCACTTCAGCTTGGATAACAGCTCGAAAAACGTTTCCGGCAACATTCCAGGAAGGTAGACCTTTTCAATTTTTCCAAGTCGAAAACTTAAAATCGTATTAATCGACACAAGTCCAACAACACTTATGATATGCATCTTTGTAATCTTAGGTACAGGTTAACACGAATATATCTGTATACACTACAAACTTTTTCTTGCAACCAACCGTTTAATGACAAGTGCACCCGGATGCTGTTTATGATACTAGCTTTATTTATGCTATTGAATTGGTAATAAGTATAGCCCATAATGGGAAAGCTTTACATTTCACAACCGGCAACTCCAATCAGCGGTTAATTAAATTTTTCAACCCTACCTGGTTGACAAACAAAACTAGTCTCTCCGAAGTAAGGTACACTTTGATTGGCTTGTAGCAATATACTTTAAAATCAGTCGCAAATTGTAATTGCGTAAACACTGACGACATTTCACTTAACTTTTCTAATTTAATTTCAAGCCCCGCACTGGAATCTATGAAGTTGCAACGGCAAGGCTACCTTTTAAATATTTAGGTGCCATTCAGTTCCATATCATGGAGTATATAATCGTGCATGATAGATGGGAATACAAGAAGTACAGAATATCGTGCACGTACAAAGATACGACTCAAACATAAAAGATGATCATGGGAATCAATGTGTAAGTTCAGATAACCTTTTATCTGAATGCACCTGTAGGATTCCATGATTTTATTAAATGGTCAATCTAACGGTGAATCTGTAAGGCTCTTAACATGCTCAGTGGCGCTATTCATGGCTTCGACTACTAGTGCTAGCCTTTGGATTGGTAAACTGGCACCCTTTCCAGGTTCATGTTTATCTACATATGTCCATCCGTGCACTGCACTATTCACTACTCGTACATATATGAACCTTCCTAAACTTTTGTTTAAACAACAGTTTTATACAGTTAGCAAAATGGCTATTTGTTATTATAGAGTTATTGAAAGTGTTGGTACTACTTTCATAGTTATTTTTGGTCGGAACTGCTTTGTGCTTTTCATCCATGGCATAGCCATGGATTTTTCCGAGTTTGCAACCAGTGCAAAAACGAATTGGTAGCAGTGATTTAATAAAGTTGCATGTCATATTTTTTAATGAAATATCTATGTCCTAGTCTATCAGAAACCGTTTATTTTTGCAATGTCTATCAACTTGTATCATTAAATTAATTCGTGTATTAAGCACTAAATATAACTATATCTGCACATAATTTTTTTAAAACTTAAACTAAAATTTGACAGAATAATATCATTCCAAAAATATATCAACCCTATTTCAGAAATGTCATTGCTCTGCATGACTAAATTGATCTTAAAATCTTTATAAACTCATGGTATCAATAGAATCAATCACTCAATCAACTATTATATTTGGCGAATCAAGAAGATTTAAATTTCAAGTTTTCTAAGTACAAAATCAAAACCTACAAAAGTACGCATATTATTGAGTTGAGAAATTAATGTCGCCTTGTGAAATGCAAATTCAGTAGGGACGTAATAATACCAATAGTGCGTACATAATTCGTATAATGTTATGAGTCTGATAATTTAAGTAATTATAATTGTATTGTAACTCAATAATAGTTTCTTGTGTGCAAATGATCGAATAAAAAAAGTATTGTCAGAAGATGACTGATAAGAAATCTGCCAATCTAAATATATAATGTTGGCTAAGGTTTAATTAATATGTAAGCATTTACTTAAATCTAAGCATTAACTTAAATGATTATTTCCCACCAATAAATATCCACTAAATATGAAACTGTACACATTTTTGATGATGGATGATACAAAGACATGTTATTGAATAATTCACATGTATTCATTCAATTGGATTCAATTGTACCGGAACGTCAAACATATGTAATTTGCCTTTCTCGGTTTAACGATGACACGAATCATGCCATTAACGAATGATGTGTGGTAAGTCGTAAGAAACTTTTGTATATCTCTTTAACAACTACAGTTCTGTAATTCATTCAGTTCAATTATTCAGTTATAGTTATTCAGTTCAGTTCTTACAAGTATGTAAGTAGTATACATAAATCTAAATATGGAGATATTATATTTTTTTAATTTAATAGCACTAAAAGTAAACATGATTATTTACTTTTTGCAGGTTCTAATGCACACATACAATCTGAAAAATTGGGTAATAAGGCCATTTCTATAAGGTAATTATACGTGAATCTGTCGCTATGGTAAGTATGTACGTGTAACATAAGGGACCGGACATAAATTACGTAACGGAAAAATCGCGATTTCTAGACCCCCTCTACTCTTTTACATAAGCATGATAAGCATAAGCATGATATCATTGAATCCTTAGACCCCCCTCCCCCCATCTTGCGTGTCATAATTTATGGACGATCCCTAATAGTTTGTAAGGCTACAAAGCTTTGGAAGATTACAAACGTCGGATTGAAATCCTTCATTGATTGTCCAGACATAAAAATTGTCCATATTAACAAATCATCGATCATCCTACATACGTAAAGGACAGTGCATAAATTATGTCCCGCAAGAGGGGGGAGGGGGGTCTAAGGCTTAAATGATATTGTGCCTATATTAAAAGGTCGGAGGAAGGGTCTAGAAAATTGTGATTTTTGCGTGACATAATTTAAGGATCCCCCCTAATCTTCTTAACGGCCGCTTCTTAGCTGCTATTCCACATGTTTTTTTTTCGTATCATGCTAAATCCGTATTAACATTTAATTCTGAACAAGTGCTAAGGTCCCTGCAAAATGGATGTCTTCATTAAAATTATTTCACACAATCGGGTCAACTCAAGTTACCTACTCACGCAACATATTTAAAACACAATAAAGGCATAAATAAATATGTGAATAACCTATCCCATAAACCTGTGACATTCTTCACACACGACGCTCAAGTTTTATGACCAAAGTTTTACTTCTTTTCTTTGGTCGTGTATACATATTTTCATACATGCAACTTATTAACGATTTGGGACACTGCAGAAAGCTTGGCATCGATTCATCTCGACCTGGACAAAAAAAGGTGAAGCAATACAGTCTTAAATATTTATGATGTGGAGTAAGAATTATGTACTTCCACAAAAATTTGCACATCCTTTCCGCACTGTCCAATCATAAACCTACTTAAACATGAAATCTGTCAAACGAAAATAAACATATTTATTACATCGCGAAAAAGTCTGTGGTAGAGTTCTAACCAATTCTTCGGTGTGTTCCCGTTCACCATCTGGTTAATAACTAAATACGTAAGCTGGATAAGTAAAGTAAAGTAATTTTCTTTAATTCTATTGACGATTTCAATTTCTCAGACACATTTACAATGCGAATTATTTATTCAATGTGATAAATTGTGTTGTAAATGCTTCCATGCCGACAAAATGAGGGTAAGATTTCTTAAACCACAAATTATATCGTTATCTAAATTTTGTTTAATTAAAATAATTAACTTTTTAAGTTTTTCCTCGTTGAAATGTATGGCTTTATTCAGATGGTTCACTCTTAGAAAAATCAATACCAGATCAATACCAGGCGGTATTCATATGTGACTCTACCGTTGTGGTATTGATTTGATACCAAGCGGTATTATTCTGCATTTATACCGTCGCGGTATAAAAATGTGACTTGCGGTATTGATTTTTTTTGCATCATGGTATTGTTTATTAATACTGTGGGGTAGGTATTTAGGACGATGCGGTATTAAATGAGTAAATGTGGTATTAACGAGTGATACCATACATTAGGAAAAATAATGGTTTAGTACTGCTTGGTATTGATTTAAACGTTATTTATTTGATACAATTACAGCTTGTAATTTACAAGTCAGAAAATTACAAATGACATCAATATTTACAAAAAATGTAAATCAACCGCATGCAATATAGTGGCATAACTTAATTATAAAAGTAGCTTACACATATACTAATGTGGAAAAGTTGAGCTGACTGGATCTACAAGCACAAGTAATTTAAAAAATAAATTGTGCAAACAAGTCAAATTTTGAGGTATTTATTGTGCATGTATTTTTTCGATTTAAAATTATCTTACCTCCTAATTCTATAGGAAATCTTCCACTGAAACAAGTGGAAAGCAATTTGTCAATTAGCTGAAATTTGAATTTCTATAGAATATCTACAATATCTATTTTAGTTTAAATTGTTGTACCTACATATTTGTAAATGTGTTCACAAACTTAAAATTATCCTGAATCCTGTATTCATGACCGGAACTAGGAATTGCCTCGGAAGTCGATGATCTCGCTAAATATAAAAGAATTAAAGTAATTAATACAAAGCACACAATATGTATAACGAAATTGTTGGTGCAAAATTCTTCCCTGTTAATTAATACTAGCTAATAAGCCCGTCTTCGCCGGGCCATATAAGTTACACTATCAGCGTGAATTATTGTCGGCAACGAAAGAAGATAACATCCCTAATTAATATATAGAGCTTCGCTACGGATGTAAATTACAATGCATAGTCGTACAACCCAACGATAATTAGTTACCTCAAAAAACCATATTGTGGTGTCAACCCTGATTATTTATTGAGAAAGTCCAAATTCATAGCGAAAAATTTCGAACTTTACAAATCCAATACCAAATCTAATTGATTCCAGCCAACACATGACAATAGCAAAATTATTGGCGATGAGCCTTATAAGATTATACAAATAATACATTTTATTATTATACAAAATTTAATTTAACACCTCCTTAAATACTACATTTTTGGTAAACACTTTGTCGTTTCCTGGTATTAATTTACCTTGGACACTATTTGTAGCTACCTCCACTTTCACATCGCACGATCTCCTAACGCGTGAAAAAGCTACATACAGTTGGCCGTGGCTGAAAACAGGTTCTGGAAGATAAATTCCTACCATTTCCAATGTTTGGCCTTGGGATTTATTGATAGTCATCGCAAAAGCCAAATTAACTGGAAACTGCCGGCGTCGAAGAACAAATGGAATATCCGGGTTAGCCGTCGTAAGTTGAATTCTTGGAACGAATACCATTTGTCCAGCCGCCGAACCTGTTAAGACTTGTGCTGTAATTAGGTTCAGTTGCAGTTTTGTTACAATCAGGCGTGTTCCGTTGCACAGGCCACGTTTGGTGTTTAAATTTCGGAGAAGCATTATAATTGCTCCGACTTTGAGGCGGAGATTATGTGGTGGCATTCCAGAAGGATGTAGTTCATTCAAGAACTCGCTGGGATAGAAAATAGCGTCTTGGCCTGCTTCGTCTTCAATGGAATCCACACTCAAATAGGATATCTCCTCTCCATTCAAAACGTTCAAGACCTGCTGGTTGATTTTATGGGCGTCCTCGTTTTTGGGACAAAGAATGGCACGATTTGAAATTTTCATAACGTCATCAAAACACTTTAATTGCTTTCCACAAATTTCCTCAGCAATGGGGGATGTTGCAATCATGTGACTTGGGATTTCGACAATATCTTCGCCCAGACAAACAGAGTTTAGAATGTCCCCATTTCCTAGTTGCAGTAACCAGCGTCCATACTCGACATCAACTGATCGAACATTTTCAACCAAATTGAGTTTTTTAAAATTTTTCCCAATGTGTGCTAAACTTGATGGAGGTTTCTACTATCGCTGATCTTGAACCATGAACCACAATAGGAAGTGTCTGCCGGAAGTCACCCCCAAGAAGTATCACTTTTCCACCGAACGGGATATCATTTTCCATGAGCTCTTTCAGCAGGCGATCTACCACAGATAAAGCATGAGTGGGAGCCATCGTTGATTCGTCCCAAATTAGCAAATCTGCCGCCTTGATCGGTTTCGCATCTGGTGATTTTGGCACAATGTTGGAAACAGAGTCTTCAAATAATTTAATTGGCAGCTTATATTGGGAATGATATGTTCGTCCTGCCGGGAAGAGGTTTGCAGCTATACCAGTTGATGCGACCGGAAGCACAGACCTACTTTCACCCCGCATTGTTCTGATTAATGTTTTATATAAATATGTTTTCCCACTGCCACCGGGCCCATCAATAAAAAAACATTTCGGCTGCGGTGTCGAGTCCATGACTGCTTCACATATAGCATCAAATGCCGACAATTGCTCTGGATTTAAGTTGCACGACATTTCTAATCCCAGCAGCTCCTCTTCCAGTTGATTAAAATTGATACCAGTTGAAACAGAAGCAACTGAAGTTGGCTTAGGCAAACCAAAATCATGGCAAAATTTACTGTGTACAGCCAGAGTCTCTTGGATGTCGAGCAGAGCGAGATTTAGGCAGTGATGGCAATCGCTTGAGTGGTGGTGATGGTGGGTGAAATCTTCCATTAGAGCAGATTGGTGGGTTTCCCAAAGTGGTAATATATTCGCCGGAGCGGCAAAGACGCAGATTAGAGCAAACAATTGCCTGAGCTGATAAGGCATCCCTGAAATAACAGCATCATTAAGTGTATCCTCCCACACTTCTTCTTTGTCTAGGAGGCCAAGAGCAGCGGCTGCATCTTGAAACTTTTCATACTGAACAGCTTGAACGGTTTTCAAGTCCTCAAATGATGTGGCGCCTTTCTTGTGAAGAAGCAGAAGTCTGAGGCAATAACGTTCTATTTCAGAAAGGCCAACGGTGTAAATTCGACCGATGGTTTTTTCACCTTGTCTGGTTTTCCGCTTTCGCCATCGTCTCTTGTTTGTTTGTTTGCTTGGATCGTTCTCAGATATATCTTTGTAAGTCTCGAATATGTAGTGTTCTGGTATTTCATGGTAAAAGTAGTTACGCGCGTTTTCGTCAGATTGATTTAATTTGAACCAAGCCATAAGCTTAGTATCCATTTCTGCGGCTTCTTTAAGGGCAGTTGGAATACTGTCTTTTTCAAACCTGACATTTTGCTCCTCAGGAAGGTGAACATCAAGGCGAGTAACTGTATGCGTTTGGATGTGCATACGGTAACCAAACAAACGCCAGGCTGCTTCGGGTGGGCTTACATATCGAGTGTCAACAAAGGATTTCATATCATTGTGTTCTGCTCCTTGGTTCTCTCTAATTTCAACACTGGCACAGTCATGACCTTTGTACACGTATTTGAAGAGATACTTGACGCTTTTTACGGTAGCACAGACTTCAACATTGATGTGGCAGTTGTATTTTAGCAGCAAATATGGATTGTATGGAACCACCCATTGGTTAAAAACAACTTTATGAACCACCGTTGCACTTGCCCCATTGTCCAGTCGTTGATATCGGGGGTATCCACCCTGATTAGCAATTGTTTCCGCAGCGAAATCTTTCGGAAAATCTTTGGTGCATGTTTTGCCATCCATACACGGGCTGCTCATGTTATGGGTTCCACACGGGCCATGAATCATGTGACGGATAACCATTTCGTGCAGCTTCGGATGAGTAGAAGCATCCGGGATTTCGGCGCATACCAAGCTATCAATTGCTTCGATTGTCGACGGCTTATCTTCATGGGCCAAGATCATAAGAATATGGGCATGTGGTAACCCCCGTTTTAGAAATTCAATTACGTGTATCCTTGCCTTCTGCTTCCCCAGGACGTGCTTTTTACTAATATCATCAAGAAGTTCTTTTAACTTTAGATTAAAGACCCGGGCTATCAAGTCTGGGCGGTTTTCGGCTCGTTGGTTGGGCTCTAGATTTTCTTGAATTTCTTTCCACCTGGGATTGCACGTCATGGTGATAAAAAGATCCGGTTTACCGTATCGTCTGACAATTGCCATCGCATCTTGATAATGCTGCTGCATATTCCTGGGACTTCCTTGGAATGATGACGGCAGAACATAAGCTTTTCCAGGACACGCGCCAATGTTTGCATCCGAACTTATGAAGTCTTGCAGACATCTATACTTTTCAGTACGCAGTTTATCTTGATTCAATTTTACGAAATTAAGGCGATTTCCTTCGGTCTTAACGTATGCATCCACGAAGAATTGCTGCGTCAGCTTTCCTGCAATTAAGAACGGATTAAAATCTTCTCTGATAGCCATTAGGGTTGCAGAACATTTTGAATTTTCGGTTAGTGATAAGCGTTGAGATGCCGCCAATCCCGAGTCCAGGATATAGAGTTGAGCGTAACGTCGGGTCTCTCCCTCGTCTGGATGCAATGTGCCGGCTCGATGATAAATCTGGCCATGAATCCTGAAGCAATAAGGTCCATGACCAGGTGGACTGGATAAAGTTGCACCGGTGGAGGCAAAAGCAAGGGAACTATTGAATGATCTGATGTGCTCCATGAAGTTTTTTGATTCTTGTTGACCAGTCATTAAGATTTTGATAAGCTGAGAAGTTTTTATCCGAGGCAGCCGAATTTTTCCCTTCAGGCAACACGGGGTGAATGATCGGCTATTGCCAGTTGCTTCGTTTGCAAAATTTTTTGAGCCGCAAGATTAACAAATTCTGTCCATCCTTCCACAACTATGCTCGTTAACTTCTTCAGCAAGCAGAGCCCCTATTGCATCATCTTGTTGTCGCTGTTGATAATGGCGAACAGCGTCAACAGCCCTCCGCTGTGCTTCCTCAATTACCGTTTCAGCTAGTCTATTATTTTTTGCTCGTATTCTTTCTGACCTCCGCCTAGTTTCATTTTCTGTTTCTGTAGCTTTAGCCCGGTGAAGCTGAGATCGTTGTGATGAGGATGTTGATTTCTGGGAAAATAACTCGATATCTGGATCATCTGAAACCAATAATACCGAAATGTAGCGTAGTTCTATTTGAAATGTTCGTTGTGTTCAAAAGAGACATTGGCACCCAAGCAATCAATTTCTGGCATACGGTCAACTCTTAGTGATGATGTCAAAATTTCAACTTCAGTGTCATCGATCACAACTTCTGTCGACAATAAATGTGATTTTCAAACCTCAAAGAACAATAAAAAACGAAATATTTATTTTCCAAAAGAAAAATTACCGTCCAGAGATGGCAACCTCATTTCATTCTCCTCCGCCCGTTTTTTTGCTTTTCTCAGCCGATCTGTTTCCTTGAGCTTATCCCTTGTTTCTATGGGTAGAGCTTCACGGTATTTTCGCTTTAGTTTTGCTGACGATGAAGGTTTCGAGTCGTCAAGAATTTGCACTTCGGCCATCTCAGCTTCTTTTCGGTAAAATTTAATGGAACTTAAGTTTAAATCAAAACAAAGTGTATATATTTATTAACAAACATAATTTTACCTTGTTCGTCTATCTTCTTTCGTTGTTTTTCCTCCGCTCGCTTTTTAGCTATTCGTAGACGATCAAATTCCCGCTGTTTTTTCTTGTCCTCTTCAGTTCTAGATGCACGATAGTTTCGTGTTCTTTCGGTTGATAAAAAAATGGAATCCATTTTCAATCCACAGAAACAATGTTTAAATGACAACTAAAATCTTCAAATTTGAGGTAGAAAATAAAATCTTCAAAAATGTTGACCATCAACACCGGCTATTGGTCTTTTGAGATGTGCACACGTCAGCGGCTTGAACAGAAATGCACAATTTTACATGCAATTAACGTGCTAAATAGGACGATCTATGGCTACTAATGAAGAATAGCATTAATGGAGTTCAACATAATTTTGCGAACTAAACAGTGTTATTAGATTCATTTCACTAAATATATGCAAACTTAAATTATATAATGTTTGTCATCAACGGGTGAAAAGTGTGTACGATGAAACAGCCATATTATATTTTAGAAACAAAATCAGGTTTATTAAAGTAAATTAGTTAATGAATTATCAACATTAGATAAATACAAAAATCTCAACAGCACACAGGAATTGTTTTACTCATTAATTAAATTTGTTGCACCCGCACCGTCATCTGCTTGCTCTTTGATCAGATCAGTCTCAGATCTATAACTGTCAGCGCTTAGGATTGAGTCTCCCATCAAACTTAAATCCTTGTCGGCATCGTCATCAAATTCCTTCTCCTGTTTCGCCTTCTTACATGTTCCACATTGAGAATCTCCCGTATTGTGTTTGTTCAATGCTTTCGCCAATTCTCGGTTTTTTTCTCGTAATTTTGCAACTTCTAAGTTTCGATCCATTGCGAGCTTCTCGATCGCGATCGCAGACTCTTGATTTATGCCACATGATGGGCAGAATAGCACACAATCTATAATCAAAGAACAATATAGAGTTTGCAATTGTTGTAATTTATCCATGCACCAAAAATTCCCTACCAATGGTAATGTTCCGACAGCCGTGACATCTTCCAAGAGTAACCAACATCTGTTCAAGATTGATGGAACACATTTGGGTTTTCTTGCAAGTCTGACAAATCACTGTAAGGTATCAAATAATTAATATCTCTTGGAATATCTATGTAAAGTGGGCACTCACGGTTCAATCCTTCCTGCTTACAAGTGGCACTGTTCCCACACAATTGGCAAAACATTCCGAGTAACTGAAAAACCGTTAAACTTGTACAGAAAATTCCTTTATCGGTGCACCTGGTACTAACTGTTGCCAAAAAAGCGTTAAAATTGTTGTTACCTAACGTAGGAGAATAGTTGATTGATGGTGCTCCTGGTAAGACAATTAGAATAGAATGAAAAATGATCACTACTCGTTTTAACGTTTCCTCCGTCCCATATAACTTCTCGTTCCAGATTCAAAAATTCACACTGCCTGAGGGCGACTCGCCCACCAAGACCACCAATGCTCATATGTCATGGGGTTTACTCGTGTGGCTCGTCTTGGCTGAGGGCGGGTCGCCCACCGAGACCACAATGCTCAGACGTTATGGGATTTGATCCCGGTGGCTTAGCCCGGCCCGGGCGGCCCGCCTGGCCACCTGAAGTCTTGTACCACCAATGATAGTGGAATTTGACACCTTGGCCCTAACACCATCAGATAACCTACCACAGATAACCACCCACCCTCAGATAACCACCATCCCTAGATAACCACCCACCTCTAGATAACCACCCACCTCTAGATAACCACCCACCCTAAGATAACCACCATCCCTAGATAATCACCCCCCTCAGATAACCACCCACCTTCAAATAACCACCACCCCCGGATTACCACCACCCCTAGATAACCACCCGCCCTCAGATAACCAGCATGCCTAGATAACCACCCACCTTCAGATATCCTCCACCCCCAGATAACCACCACCGTCAGATAACTACCCTCCCTAAATAACCGCCACCCCCAGATGACCACCACTCCCACAAAGAGTACCATACGTTCTGACATTTATTGTTTTGAATTTAATTTATTTTGAATTTTCGCGCCATTCGAAACTTGACTTTCCCTACTTTCACTTCCGTCACGAACAGAATTTTAGGACGGACAGATTTACTTTCACTTCCGTTGCCAACAGACATTGCCTCTTATAATATAGATAATATGTAGCAAAAGACAAAACCAAAAGACGAAGAAGTTTTCAAAGTTTCCATCGGAAGTAGCCAATTTCTTCCCGTCAAATAATTCCCCAGCCGAACTAATTAAGAACATATTTTAAAAAGATGAAAGAGAACGATTTGCAAGTGCAAGTGAGTAGTTTGCAAATCCCGCACACGAGTCTATACAGGAAGGATTTGAGACTGGGTAAACGTGGTATAAAATCTGTACCAGTCAGTATTGTTTTTTTACCAACTCGGTATTATAAGTTAATACTCTCCACGTACAAGCTCTTGGTATTGATTTTTCGTAATATTTTAATACCGAATCGTGACTGCGTGATTATACCAGCACGACGGTATTAAAATTTTTCGCAGATCAATACCCAGTTTCTAAGAGTGTTTTCATTGCCAATTCGTACAAGTTGAAATCCTTTTGCGAATTGATACATCTGGAAATATTAAACCTGTCAAGTCAAACTATGCAAATATGTATAAATAAATCAGAGTAGAATTCGATAACTTAACGGTACGTATAAATTTTGAGGGTATAAAAGAACCAGCATTTTATTTTATTCTGCAAAATAAATAATCTTTCGTTATACTTGTGGACGTATTTATTTAATTTTCAGGTTTGGCCATCAAGATCTATCCTCCTTAAATTTTAGTTGGAGAACTTTAGTTGGAGAACTGCAAGAATTTATTCTTTAAAATTATTTTTTAAAGACATCACCACCGAGATAAATAGAAATAGAGGTTCATAAAAGCAACCCTAAAATGCTGTCTATAATTATTATCCGCGCGCTATTACTTGTCCCCGGCTCATACACAAATTAACGGTGTACTCTCCCGTGTTGTAGAGTGTTGAGCGTGTATACTGACTGTGTTGTAGACACCGTTAATTTGTGTATGAGCCGGGGACAAGTTAAAGCGCGCGGATAATACATGCGCTCGTTTTCATATACAATGTTTTTTCGCAATAGTTTTTGAGTATTTTTCTTCTGCTATCGCCCCCTCCAAACATTTGTATTTTTAATTTGATGATTTTCGATTTCAATAAGTGTACTAGGGTATTTTGATGCAAAAAATACGTCTAAAAAAATTCCGCATATCAAGGGTACGTCTGAAGGGCCAAAAAGGACCTTTTGGGACGCCTACACATATCCCTGCGTTGTGAACCAACCAAAGGTCGTATTGACATGCGGTTTCGATGTTTATTATCCTCATAATATTGTCTAACAACAAATTGAATAAGAAGTCGACACGTGACCTCTTTGACCTAAACTTTGACCTTTATGGAAAATTCAAATTTTCCAGTCTGTAGGGACGCTATTTTATTCGCCATGCACTATTAGAGTGATAAATTTGTATCAGCGCATAGCTCCCTACCATCAAGAACGAAAATTATGCAAGTATGGTCGAGGAATTGAAATTAGAGACATTTCTTCTTAGAGGATTATTTGGCAAAGCTTAACAACATAGACTAAATTCAGATTACTATACACATTGTGGACCGATTTGGAATATTCTGACTTTTTGGAAACCCTAGATCCCCTGGCGAAATATATATTTCCAGATTTTTGAAATTCGACTACACCCCCTCAAAATTAAGGTCACCAGTTCAAAAATTAGATACAATTAAAATTGATACTTACAATGGAATTCCGAAGCAAAAAAAATCCTATTGCGTGTCGAAAAAATACTTGAACTCTCTGGATACCTTAACCAGTGTTCGTGGTCACATGCCCCACCTTCAGTGGGTGTGGCCTTCGATAATTATTCGAATTTTCTTAAATATGGGTTGCGACCTATCAATTTTTTCAGCTCGGTGAGGAGATCCCGATTGAACAATTACAATTTAAAAACCACGCTACTATCCCCAGTGGGTGTGGTCCTTAGGGACTTTTTAGTTTTGACAAAATCATGTCATGTGATATGTCATTTTTCTCATCTCGATTAGAGGATCACGGCTTGCTAAATAACATTCAGGCCCACCCCCACCCAGTTGGTATGGGCCTGAGGGGCTTTTTGATTAACATGCCAATGTGTTGCGAGCGGGTTTTAGTTTAATGCATTAATCTTCGGGATTAATGGGTTACTTTTATTATCTCAAAAACTTGGATTTTGGATTAGGGATTTACAAATCCCAATCTGGATTACCAATCCACCAACCCCTAATCTGGATTGTCCCAGCTCTGCTGAAAGGAATGATTCATTACATCTATTCTATAACGTCAAAAACTTGGCAAAAATTATTAATCAGATATCAACATACGTGTTAGGTACTGATTCGAGATAGTCTCCCCGAGCAAGAACACGTATATTTCATTAAATGGCTTGGTTAGAAAAGTGAGTAATAACCACACCCACTTCAGATATGGTTTTCAAATCTGATTTATTCTGTTCCAATTTAATTTATCCTCATATTGAGATGCGACAAATGTTATACAAAACTTTTTTTTTCAAAATGGATTGCATGGTACCTTTAAAGTCGAAGATGTTTTAATTGACACAGCAATTGTAGGTGTAGTATCCAAATACAAGTTTTATGGTCATCAAGCTGTGAAAAAAAGCCTCAAAACGTATCGTTGAAATGAACAAACCACTTGGGACAACAACCACTGGGTGGGGGTGGGCCTGAATGTTATTTAGCAAGCCGTGATCCTCTAATCGAGATGAGAAAAATGACATATCACATGACATGATTTTGTCAAAACTAAAAAGTCCCTAAGGACCACACCCACTGGGGATAGTAGCGTGGTTTTTAAATTGTAATTGTTCAATCGGGATCTCCTCACCGAGCTGAAAAAATTGATAGGTCGCAACCCATATTTAAGAAAATTCGAATAATTATCGAAGGCCACACCCACTGAAGGTGGGGCATGTGACCACGAACACTGGTTAAGGTATCCAGAGAGTTCAAGTATTTTTTCGACACGCAATAGGATTTTTTTTGCTTCGGAATTCCATTGTAAGTATCAATTTTAATTGTATCTAATTTTTGAACTGGTGACCTTAATTTTGAGGGGGTGTAGTCGAATTTCAAAAATCTGGAAATATATATTTCGCCAGGGGATCTAGGGTTTCCAAAAAGTCAGAATATTCCAAATCGGTCCACAATGTGTATAGTAATCTGAATTTAGTCTATGTTGTTAAGCTTTGCCAAATAATCCTCTAAGAAGAAATGTCTCTAATTTCAATTCCTCGACCATACTTGCATAATTTTCGTTCTTGATGGTAGGGAGCTATGCGCTGATACAAATTTATCACTCTAATAGTGCATGGCGAATAAAATAGCGTCCCTACAGACTGGAAAATTTGAATTTTCCATAAAGGTCAAAGTTTAGGTCAAAGAGGTCACGTGTCGACTTCTTATTCAATTTGTTGTTAGACAATATTATGAGGATAATAAACATCGAAACCGCATGTCAATACGACCTTTGGTTGGTTCACAACGCAGGGATATGTGTAGGCGTCCCAAAAGGTCCTTTTTGGCCCTTCAGACGTACCCTTGATATGCGGAATTTTTTTAGACGTATTTTTTGCATCAAAATACCCTAGTACACTTATTGAAATCGAAAATCATCAAATTAAAAATACAAATGTTTGGAGGGGGCGATAGCAGAAAAAATACTCTTTTATAACTTCTTGTATCTCTGATAAATTAGCAAAATCATATTGGCGAGTCGCTAGTAGCGATTTACCTCACCACATGAATTTATGCATGTAAAATTCGTAGCTTTGTGAAAAGAGTTGCAATGATAAATACAACGTTGACGTGAGTACCCCAATAGAATACATTTTTTGTTTTTTCACAGGTGTCCAAACACTTCTCAAACAAACCGAAAACTGAAATGCTACATCCCCTTTGAAGACTATCCAAACAAAAATCGAGGAATGTTAAGCTAAGATAATTTTTATATTTTAATATTCTTAAGTAAGTTTAACTACCATACATCACGTGTACATTTTTATGAACCCCTTTCTTTTGAATAATCACATTCCTATTAGTATAAATTGGCAAGTTTTCGAAAAAATTATGAAGACATGTACTGGGCAGAAATCCGAGTACCATTTTCTGAGTACTATTTATCGGTAGGAATACAAATTATTACGGGCCATTCATAAATTATGTATGTAGAGCAAAAATTGCAATTTTCAACCCCACTCCCCTTTAAAATGTGTCACATCGACACGAAATAATCAGAGTCTTCTCCCCTCTCTAGAGTTACATAATTTATGAACTGCCCCTTATCAAATACTATTACAAAACCAAAATTATTGGGATGGTTACATATGTAGATTGTCTGGACAGATTTGTTACGTAGATTGTTTAAGCGGATTATAATTTCCTTCTGTTTCAATGTAAGTATTCTTGTAAGTAACGTAAGTAACGTGCTTTATGTGTGGTACATGAGATCTGTTAATCAAAGCAGGCACCAAAGGTTTTAATTTGGGCATCATGACAAAGATTTCTTGGATTGCGAGAAACTAATTATATGTTTATGCACTCATTGATTGATTGATTGATTTTAGACCACGTGTGGTGTACATGGGTAATAAAAGGAGATAAAATATAGCCATATATTTACTAAGTTCTTCAATGATTACATAAGCAAAGTATGTATGAGAGCCTATTAGACTGCGTAATAATGTAGATTTAACAGTATTGTTTTATAACTTTCGCTCAATCTTAAATGTAAAAAACATCTGAGATAGGCCCTTTCAATTACTTTTCATCCTCAAAATTCCAAATTGACGAACGGTTTGAAAACAAAATGTACTACAATTGAATCATTCAATTGGAGTACATTCAATTTGAATGTATTACTAAAAAGTAATACAAGAGCGCTACCCATTTTACTACATATTAACAAAAGGCGAAAATGACGATTATGGTATTTCACTAATAATGGAAGATCTCATGACATATGTAATGTCTCCATAATTAAACGTGGAGGTGTATTTCTTAAATGTATTTAAAAATGGTTATCAAATACCTCGATAATTTCCCTCCATTTTCTGCTCATTTCAATCATTAGTCTTTTAAAAAATAGTAACGTGAACTCAATTTTGTTCCCCATTATACAATTTACATTAATAGAAGTGCAGGGAAAATAGTGTGAGCTGTGACATCAGATTATGACAAATTTGAAAATAGCAGTGAAGAAATCATTATTTATGGAGGATAATGCCATAATAGGCATGAAATCCACTATAGCTGTACTGGATTTATTTCTTTCTTGAATAGTAACGTTGCTAGTTGGACAGTATAATTATATGTCATACGTCTTGATGCACTTTTAGATGCATACTTCTCTTCGACGTCTTTTTCAACTACAGACCTGTATATCTAACTCTCTTCAAAACTTAAGGTGCTGATGTGCGGCTAAGTATTTGCAAATGTACTCGGTAGAGTAAAACCTGGTTTACTTTCTATTTCTTTCGTTGCGCTTTTAAATATATACAAAACCTACGGCTAGTTTCACAGACAATGAGCAAACCTGGTATTGTTTGTGATTTTTGAGTGTTGTCTTTTCTGTTTCGGCACATGAAAATTTGAACCTACCTATGTTTCTTGAAGGTAAAAAGTGGAGCTGGCTGAACCAAGATTTACCTTTTCCACAGGGAAGAGCCTGGTTGAGATAATTGACATGAATACTTGCTTTATTGTTTCATGCAGTTGGTAGGTTGTCCTCCAGTTCAAAGGTATTTCTGTTGGCAATCATTCGGATTTGGGATGAACTTAGGTCTGCGCTGCTGTTGCGGGATTCGTTTTCTTTAGTCGAATGTATTCATGTAGAAGAATGCCTTTTCGACTTTAATTACATATCTAAAACCAGTGTACATCCAGGTGTTTAGCCTCATAATCAGCGGCACCGTATCCAACATAACTGTTAATGTTAAATGCTAGTTTGATAATTTTGCAATAATGTAAAGTGTCAGAAGCAAAGTTGACCACATATAATTCTAATAGACACGGTCGTGCCAACTTCCCGCTGAAGGGGTTCCGCACGGCATATTCGTGTTGACAAAATGTATACCGTCGGCGCTGGTACTTGATTCAAGACGTATGTGTTCCGTGAGAAGTTACCTCCCCTCGTCCATGTCGGATAACCTCGCTGATAGTTATATGATCGTTTTGCGACTGCCACTGTTATGTTTTTTCCGATAGGAGGGTTGTGTAATCCATCTTCACTAATGCTAAATGAATAATTATGTTATATGTTCGTGTGAACGCAGATAACTACACTCAAAACAAAAATTTGTCAAATCAACACCGCCGGTGTCAATATTGTTAAAAATAACCCTGATTGTGTATGTTATAATATGAATTATGTCGCTAAATGTGCATCATTGCACATACTTGACCACCTAATATTATGGGTGGATAAATGCATGCATGAAAAGTTGAATGACTTAGATGATGATCTTATATGTATGACAATGAGCTGCGTTTAATAAATCAGTAGCTGAAAATACTCCAACAGTCGAGCATCTCTCTCCTTATATTTTGAACACGTTATCAGCACGGGTTCTGCAAAGTTTCTGAAAAACTTAAATTTCTGAAAAGATTTTAAGTTTAAAAATATAAGTTTGAGACAATAAAGTCAGAAAATGACTACCACGACTTCGGGAACGACAACAACTACCACTACGACAATAGTGGGTAGAAAGTTTGACTAGTTATCTTCGATATCTAAACTTGACGGTGATAATTTCCGTGTTTGGAAAGTGAGGATGTCAAGCCTATTTAGGTCGCATGACCTAAACGAAATAGTGGACGGAACATCCACCAGACCTGCATCCTCAAAAAGAATGGGATAAACGCAACAATGAAGCTATGACTTCGTTATATTTGTGCATGACTGACGCCGAGGTGGAGTCGATTTCTGGGTGTGCAACAGCCCATGAGATCTGGAATAAACTAAACACGATGTACCAAAGCATCAGTGGAGAGAGCAAACAAGTGCTGTGGCAGAAATATTACAGCATTATGGTAACCTCAGGCAAGTCCCCAGTTAAAAACAATGATTGAAATACAAAATTATGCCGCCCAACTGCGAAGTATGGGAGCTGTAATTGATGACGAGATGGAGGTCGCTAGGATAATTTCCAGTATGATGGACGAAAAGTTTCGCCAATTTCGAGAGGCCTGGAGGTCAGTTGAGATTGCGAAACAAACATCAGCTCTACTTCTCTCCAGGTTGAAAACCTGGGAGTTAGAAGATGGCGAGACGTACAAAAATGCTTCACATGTCGAAGAGACATCAAAAGCATATGCAGCCAAGAAAGAGCGACCAAAGCGAACCAGACAAGAAATTAGTGATCTGAAAAAGAAAACTAAATGTCACATCTGTAAATTAAAGGGCCACTGGAAAAGTGAGTGCACCTTCAAAGATAAAGATTCTGCAAAGAAGGAACAGAAATCTGATGAAAAATCAGAAGGAGCTTATATGGCTGGTGGGCTAAGTGACCTTTGGATAAATGACTCTGGTGCAAATCGCCATTATTGTGGGCGAAAAGACTGGTTTTTCGAATATAAAGAATACCCATGCCCAAAATCGGTCAGCATGGCCGATAACTCTCTCATGCTTGTAAAAGGCGTAGGAGCAGTGAAAGTGAAAGCACTTATTAACAAAGTTTGGGTAGAAATAACTATTTATCAAGTTGAATATGTGCCAGGGGGGCAAATTTACTGTCAGAAAATGTTCCTCTCGACAAAGGCTTAGTAGTAAGCAAAAGCGGAAATAATCAAATTATTTATTATCGCGATGGACAGCGTGATATTGAAGCCGAACGAAGAGACGGTCTTCAAATAATGAAATTCAAGCCAATTGTAAACAGAGCGATGGCCTGTATCAAGCCTGTCGTATGGCACGAGAGATTAGCTCATATTAACTCCAAGTTTCTGAACGATACTAAGGACAAAGAGGCTGCGTATGGCCTGGAAAATATGAAGCGAGAGGATGTGAATTTCAAGTGCGAAATATGCATGAAAGCAAAGTCCAAGAAGAAGAGTTACGTTACAGTTGAAAAAACTGTAACGGTAAGTATTTGCCAGGAGAATGCTTACATTCCGATCTTGGTTATGCAAATGCAATTTCGAAAAATGGAAATTCGTACTTCCTTGTAGTAAAGGACGAAGCATCAGCTTTTAGACAAGTATATTTCCAAAAGAAAAAAGGTGAAACCGCAATGAATGTTATAGATGCGATTAACTTCATGCGTACTCAGACCGGAAATAACGTGAAGATGTTCAGATCGGATAATGGGGGCGAGTACAAATGCCAAGAATTGGTATCCTTCTTCTCTAAACGAGGAATACGATTCGGTCTCAACTCACCTCAGTGCAGTCCCAGTAATGGATTCGTAGAACGTGAAATGCGAATCGAACAAGATGCAGCGAGGTCAATGCTGATCCAAAGTCAGCTGCATGAATCGCACTGGGAGGATGCAATCCGAACTGCATGCTACGTACTCAACAGAACCTTGAGTACAAAAAATACAGAAAAAACTCCATACGAACAAGTTATAGGAAAGAAACCTACTTTACAGCATGTTCGGATTTTTGGGAGTAAAGCTGCTTTCGCTCACATAACAAATGGACAAGGAAAGAAATTCGATGACAAAGCTACAGAATGCATTTTGGTTGGTTTTGATGCGCATACAAAGAACTATATTTTGTATGATCCAGCGGAAGGAAAATATCACTACCAAGCTAAACATGTGAATTTTATCGAAACAAATGCTTCTCGAAGAGAGAGCATTACTAACGATGAACCTGATGAGATTATTACTACATTTTCTACCAAAGAAATGATGAAACTGAACAAACAAACGGGGCAAGTGAGACAGAGGGTGAAGAAGCTGAGACTTATTCGTCAGCAAGCAATTCTCCGCAGCAAACTAACCCCAAAGTTCATCAGCACAACGAAACATGGGCAGATGAGATACAATGGGAAGCATCACAAGAAGACCGTAATTTTGTGAACACCTCCCTCCCACCACAGCCCAGTTCCTCTAAACCCAAAAGGGAGAGGCAACAAAGGAAGTTTTATCAAGCCGGCAGCGGTGACGCAAATGTAGCTATGCACGCAACAAACACCGAGCCAACAACTTATTCAGCAGCTCTCAGCTCTAAATATGCTGGAGAGTGGAAGGAGGCGATGGATTCTGAAATGAGAAGTCATTCTGAAAATGGAACATGGAGACTTGTAAAACGACCCGTAGGAAAAAAGGTGCTGAAAAACCGGTGGGTTTATAAAATTAAGCACAATCCAAACAGTGAAATTGAGAAATTTAAAGCACGCTTAGTGGTGAAGGGTTTTAACCAAGTCAAAGCTGTAGATTACACTGAAACATTTGCACCAGTTAGCAGATATGAGACGATCAGAACTTTGTTGTCTGTAGCAGCAGCAAGGAAATTAAAATTAGTACAATTCGACATAGGAACAGCTTACTTGAATTCAGAACTAAAAGAAGAAGTATACATGGAAGAAGCTGAAGGTTATGAAATCGGATCTGATATGGTCTACATATTGGACAAAACCTTATACGGACTGC